AACCTGCTACGGACAAATCTAGGGCAGCCAGAGGTAAGTCCCGATAGGCGAAATTAACCAGCTGTACTGGCGCGACGCTCCTGGTCTCTTCTTCTATTTGTTGGGAAATTATTTCAACTTCGGAAACTCCACCTTCTATAGGAGGCCTAATAAAGTCATCGAGGAAAGGCAGAAATAAGAACCAGCCCTCCCCACAACTGCAAATTATCTTGATTTGTGCTTTATAGGCAGTCCTGGATTTAAAACCATCCATTGAGTGACCCCAAAAAAAGGGACTGAGGACCGTTTTTCACAAGTTAAGTTTAGTTTACTTTATTGTCACTACACCTCGTACAATGAAATGAAATACCAGCGCGCATTATGACTATGAAAATAAAACACAAACACACATCCTTCACATTCTGTACAATTGAACTGAAAAAGCTCCTGATATTGCATTAATATTGCACTATACGGTAGAATTCAATAGAGTTACTGCCCTGGGATAGAAACTGTTTTTCAGCCTGTTTGTCCTTGTTTTTATTATCGTGGACCATCTGTCAGGATTCCGGCAGTTGCCCCATTTAAACCATGAATCTCGAGCCAAATTTCCAAAACTTCAAAAGGATTTATTGGGAGTTAAAATGTCCGCCGTTGCCTGGGTGTAGCCAACTCTGAGGCACATCATTCACTGTCACCCTTGACCCTGGTTCCCCCCACCCCCTGGGTGTATCATAATTCATATTCCCCAATGGGACACATATCCATAGCCAAGAGTCATCAATCATGCTTGCTCTCCAGCTAGAATTTTGCGCTGCAGAAAACTTCAGTCGCCTAGAAACTATCTGTGAAAACATTTATGGAATGCACTTTTGGTTTTGCAAGCTGCTACGCTGCTTCCTCCTCCCTTTCTGCTGGCAACTCTAAAAAAACTAGAGAAATATTTTACGAGTTGACACCGCCTGCCAGATGGTAATAGTGCAAAAAAAAAGGGAGTGGCGCAGGATGAGATGGATCTTTGCGGATGTTTTGAACTTTCTTAAGGCAGCGGGAGCTCTAAAGCTCTTCCAAAGAGGGGAGAGGGCAACCCATGATCCTCTGGGCAATGACATTAACCCTCTGGAGTGTTAACCCCACCTCAATGGCTGCCTTTTAGAATGCCAAAGGGTCTAACTCTAAACCAGATCTCCCACCGGCCACCCTATTAAGGGGTTAATAAACATCAAGAGACTGGAACAAACAAGGGAAGGTAATCAAGGAAAGAAAAAAAAAAAAGGCTTCACATTCAACTTCATTTTGATGAGCTGGCTGCAGACCTTGCACAGATTTCTCTCCAGAAAAAAAAAAGGTGTTTAAAATCCTCTAGTGAATTAAACGGCCTGGATAATCAACTGGATAATTATAGAAGACTCTCTATTCCAGGGGGCAAATTATGCAAGAATATTTGCCCCAAACAGAACATCTGTTTTTTTCGTATGAACATGAGGAATTGAACAAGGGAAACCTCTTGTTTATATCCTCTTGTTTCTTGATAACAAAAGAGGGGAGAGGAAAAAAAAGGAGTAGCAACCAGGAATGCTTGAGAAGAATATATTAGAATAGAGTTAGAGGCTCACAGCCAGACCAACTACTTTTGATTACCATCAAACCCAGTTGGAATGACCAACGGTTAGGGATTAAGACTCAAGGTTGTTTCAGCCTTCCATCCTTCCAAGGTGGTTAAAATGAGGACCCAGATTGTTGGGAGCAAGAGGCTGACTCTGTAAACCGCTTAGAGAGGGTTGGAAAGCACTGTGAAGTGGTAGAAAAGTCTAAATGTTATTCCTTCCTTCCTTCCTTCCTTCCTTCCTTCCTTCCTTCCTTCCTTCCTTCCTTCCTTCCTTTCCTTCCTTCCTTCCTGTTAGAATGCAGCATTGCAGGCTAACTTTGCCCATAATCCGGAGTTCGATTCTAACTGGCTCAAGATGAATTCAGTCTTCCAACCTTCCGAGGTCGGTAAAACAAGGACCCAGATGGGGGCAAGAGGCCGGCTCTGTAAACCACTTAGAGGCGTCTGTAAAGCACTGTGAAAAGGTATATAAGTCTAAGGGCTAGTGATATTGCTATCCAAAATTGGACTTAGAGTCTTTTCAAGCATTTTAGCTGTGGTGGCACAGTGGTTAGAGTGCAGTACTGCAGGCTATTTCTGTTAACTGCTGGCTGACTGCAATTTGGCAGTTCAAATCTCACCAGGTTCAAGGTTGACAGCCTTCCATCCTTCCTTCCGAGTTGGATAAAATGAGGACCCAAATTGTTGGGGGCAACGGGCTGACTCTGTAAACCGGTTAGAGACGGCTGTAAAAGCCCTGTGAAGCGGTATGTAAGTCTTAAGTTCTATTGCTATATGGACTGTAGTTGAAACATCTGAAGGGCATCGGGTTATTTAAATTACACAGGGTGGATAAAGAGGTCTGGATGCTGAAATTATAGATGATAGATAGATAGATAGATAGATAGATAGATAGATAGATAAGATAGACAGATATAGATAGGTAGGTAGGTAGATAGAATAGAGAGAGAGAGAGAGAGAGATAGGATAGATAGATAGATAGTTAGATAGATAATAGATAGATATGATAGATAGATAGATAGATAGATAGATAGATAGATAGATAGATAGATGATAGATAGATGATAGATAGATAATAGATAGATAGATGATAGATAGATAGATAGATAGATGATAGATAGATAATAGATAGATAGATAGATAGATAGATAATAGATAGATAGATGATAGATAGATAGATAGATGATAGATAGATAAT